TAATATACAAATATTATTATTTTCCTTTTCCTATTCTATTTTACTAAAATCGTTATCAAATCCATGTAACATTAGCTTTTTAGATCACGTGTAAGAAGTATCTCTCGGATACTAAGTCTCTTGTGTAATTTGTTACGTAACAAGATAATATGGTACTAAAAAAAGTTAGTTGACGGCCTTATTTAATGAGTACTATATGTTTAATCGTCAACTTTCGAACAACCTTCATCTGATCTTCGCGTGTTTATTCTTAGAATTATGAAGATTGCTGAAGGCTTTTCTTTATATTGAAATCGCAAATCACTGAATGTATTCGCTTTGTTTCATTATACTTAATTATTTTTACATATACATCTAGCTAATTCTTTAGAAGTGTATATATAGCCTTATTTAAATTTGCAGAAACCAAGACTAACAATAATAACAATATAATTTTAAATATAATAACAGACCTAATTAAAATTTGCAATTTGAAATTCTACTATCAACTATATGGACTTTTACTCTTATAAACATTTATTTTAGGCTTATAGTTGTGAAAAAGTACTGAAACCTGAATAATTTTCAAATTCAAAGTTGTTTAATATTATATAATTATATTAATTTACAATAAATATGAATTAGTGACAAAAGTAGAAAAATAGAAGCAGGGCTAACTTTTCGATAAGCTATCTTTGCAATTCGCAATGCTGTTGCAATAATGGTGACGATCGATTTTAATGATCTCCACGAATCCTAATTCGAATGATTTCCACGCGGTATCGTGACGCGAGATTGCCGCTTTCATCTCCGACGTCTGGCGTCTCGCGGCGAGAGTTGCATAACGAATTTATAGGTAACGAAAGGGCCCGTAACGAGGGAACAAACGACTCCTTGTCTCCGGAGACAAGTCGCACGAATACGAAACAACCGTTACAGCGATTTAGGTGTCGAAAGTCGAACGTCGGTTTCAACGTCGACCGGAGACAGCCGGTCGGAGACGACGGCAATTTATATCCCCGGCGGCGGTCGTCGTAACAAGAAACGTAGTAATCCTTGAACTACGCCGCTGCACCGTGATGCCTCTAATCACTGTTTATGACATTTCTAATGACAGCGCCGCGTGACCAATAAACCGTGTCGTGACCTCCCGTGACACACGTCCACGGAATTGTAATCTGCACCGTCGATCGAACTGGCTCGCGCACGTTCGCGGTTGATTAAGCCATTCGTCGCGCAATCCAAGTTAAATGGTGCTAAAATCTGATTGATAACGGACCGATTAATCACTTATTAAGACAATTCTTCAAGGTTTTTACAATATATTACTGTTTTTTTTTATGATGTTTCTTTATGAATTACATGGAAAATTATTCTTTTTCATAACTCTCGTAAACAAGCTGAAAAATGTTTTTATTCCATCTAGCTCAATTTAAATAAATGACAGTAATATTCTGTCATTTATATAACTATTAAAAATTGTTATCTCATTCAGTGTCTTAAAAAAACCGATATAATACCTATATTATTGTCACGTTGAGCTCACTTCGGTAGTGAATAGTGAAATAAGATACAAGAATGCTGTCGGCATCGGTCTGTACGAAATATTGGCGAGTCTAATTTATGTCAAACGCTAATCACGAAGATATGTGCACCCATAGCAATAAAATTTTTATTGGGCGATTGTATTTTGATTGTGCGCCATGAATCTAAGCAGTGGGCTCAAGAGCTCGCTCAAGAACGATCGAACAACAATTCACGTCAATGTGTGAGCCGTCGACGATTGAGAATTATGTGAATCGCGTTCCCCATTAATTTTCGTGGACCGTCTCGCGAAACAGATGGTAATTTATGCCGGGAATGGACACATTTAAACGAGACGTTGTCTCGTACATCACATGCGATACAATTAGCTCTTGACGAGAGAGTTGCGAAAGAAGATAAGGATCAACTTTGTCCCATGGCTACTCATCAGTTCTAGAAAACAGTGAGACGTCAGTCTCGTTCAATTATTACCTCGACTTTAGTAGGCTTAAGATAATTAGAATCTATTTATTGCATCATGAATAATGATTCTGTTATAAAATGAACAGATCGTGATATTTATGAAAACGATTAATGTACCTTATTCTCGTCAAAATAATTATACAATAAAAAAAACCTATGCTACATATTTAAATTAAATTGTTATAAATAGGAAGAAACATACAGCCACATACGCAAGATATTTTTTGCCAAAGTTATATGTATATTTAAAATTAAAAATTGTAATAATAATTTTTTATTTTAAATATATGACTTTGGCAAAAAATATCTTGCGTATGTGACTGTATGCTTCTATTTATGTTTTATGTTATTGGGCCACCTCTAATAACTATTGTTAAATTTTAAATTGTTATTTCAATAAACTTTATTTTTTCCCTGAAAATGTTTTTTCGAAAATACTTTTAATTCACTGATGTACTTTTTAATCATCATGTATATCGTATGTTAAATAATGAGATTAATTTTACACACATAGCTGCTAATTTTAGCCCTTCGTGTGCGACATAAGTTTTTCATTACCCTGTGTTATCAACACGATACAATTTACGAGAAAGATTCATAACTGCAGTTGATTACGCACGGTTGTCGTAAATCAGTCGAGTTATTATTTTACGATGAGCGCAATTTTGTTGTGATTATTGGTAGTAAATTTCGCTGGCGACGCACGACTCTCTTGAGAGACGGAATGTTAATGCTTGTATAATTATGATAACTTGTACCATGATTCTATGTTTCCCTTTTATCTTCACAAGTTATTTGCATTTTATGATTTACAAAAAAAAACGCGCAGATATCATTCTTGTAATATTCAAGTAACACCTGTTCAAAATGTAACAATAAATCAATTTTATTTATTACTTCCTTTTTGTTCTGTAATTTTCAAGATTAATTGATGTATTATACTTAATAATATAACTACACCAGCAATAGCGTCGTCCTCAATTTTCGATGAGTCTTCAATATAAATTAAAGAGAAATTAACGACCTTCATATTAAACAAAAGAGTATTCGAAGAGATAATTGTTATTCATTCCTGTACCTATGCAAATTATTTGGTATAACTAAACGTGTGGTCGCTTGAATATTTCTTAGCTTTTCTCTTCAGCTTAAAAAATATTTTCTTCATCAAACCTCAAAGGAGGCTTATAAGCTTTCTCTAAAGTATGCTTTGATAGCGTCGAGGCATGCTTGATTGATTTTATAAATCCTCCGGAATGACCAATGAAGATTCTCTTCGTTCTACGTGTAGCAATCGCGAAGGGCTCTTTAATATCTCGCACACTCATGCCTTACGTAAGATTAGGGCGCATAAAATTAGGATAAGAATGGAATGCATTCATCTCGCAGTCCCCTTCTATCATTTATGATACATCATATAATACATCATATATCCCTCTTTAATCAAATTAATTTTAAATGAGATTTTTTAAATATTTTAAATATTTTAAATTTAGTTTTTCTAAAAAAAATTTCAAGGCATATCTTTTGCACAACTTTTCCATTTCTAATATTCTTATAATCAATTCTCGAATTAAAATTCTCATAATTTAATTCAAATCTGAGAAAAGGATAAGATTTCATTGTCTATTTATATCTCTGAAATTCAATTTGTGAAATATTTTTTGTTTTCAGTTATTTATAATTAGAAATCTATTGATATCTCGATAGTTTTGTTACAGAAAAATTTTAAATTAATTACGAAATTGTAATTAAAAAAATCCTATCTATAAAAGTAGGACCACTGTGTGACATTAAAATATCTGAGATATCTGTGATTATTAGTTATATATTTAATGAGAGATATTTCTTGGTTGAACGTTTCTGGACACTTTATTATCTAAGATAAGTTTTCTACTTGAATCAGGTTAAAACTCAAATATTCCTAAACATAGTTTCGATAATATTTTAATCTTAAATTATTTAAAAATTAAACGTGAATTCGAGAAATCAGTTCTTTAATTTCTATAATTAATCTCAAAAATTTTGGTTTATTTTCAATTTACCGATAATCGCGAGAACTTCCACCACATTAGTATACTCCTCGTGTCTTGCTCGTGGGAATGAAGCGCTTTTATCCCACGTAAGATCTTCCGTTTATCGAGATGCAGTCAATGGCGAAGGTCCTTTTATAGGCGCCATGTAAAGTCCGCGCTTTATCTTAATTTCAGGTAGCGGATCGTCACGCCTGTTTGGCTATCTCCATCATTTTCCGGGTCGCCTATCTACGCTGTTTCTTAATAGAATCAGCGTATCTCAAAAGTGCGGTACAGCATAACGAGATAGCAGACGACAGTAAATTCGAACACCATGCACTAATATCAGCGGATTGACGCAAGTGGATTTGACGCGATCAACTTGATTAAAGCTCTCTTTCATCCGATTTTTAGTTATGCTCCTCTCTCTTTGACATAAAATTTTCAATTAATTAATCATACCATTTATACCACGTGTCGCTAAATTACCACGCTTTTTCCAATTGTCACGGAAGGAACGATTTTATTAAAATATCTAAAAGTTTAGCTAGATATAGATTTGAAAATAATATTGTTGAACATTAAAATAATTACGTAGGAAACTCGAGCATGATGAACAAAGCTGGAAAAAGTTTTAATATTCTAGCAATCAATTAGTGTCCCGCATAATTATTTTAATAGTCCATCAAAATTATTTTTCAAAGCTATATGCTAAATTTTTAGATACTTCAGCAAAATTATACTTCAGCAAAATTATACTATTGTACTTCAGCAAAATTATACTTTCCATGCAGAAGCTAAAAGAGGATAGTATTCGATGTTTCAAGATAAATAACAAAATTAATTCTGAATGGTTTCTATATAACAAAAATAATATACATATAATGAAATGAAAAAGCAATATATATTATCCTTATTAGTTTTCAATTTTCTCAAAAATTTTGGTTTAATAAAGTTACGCTTGTTTTCTATTAATTAAATAGCTCGTTTTTTGTATTACAGCGTGTGACTGCCATCCGATCGGAGCTTCTGGAAAGACCTGTAACCAGAGCAGCGGCCAGTGTCCCTGTAAAGACGGCGTAACCGGTATTACTTGCAACAGATGCGCCAGGGGCTACCAACAGAGCAGATCGCATATTGCGCCTTGCATCAGTAAGTACACGCCCACGCGTGCGTTCACTGTGCTTGATACCCGGTTTCATTGCCGCGTTTATCTTTTATTTCGATTTCGTTTCCGTCGACGCTCGTCACCCCCCTCGAGCCAATCTCGTTTTGTGCGAGCTACGCCAAGCATGTCGCGATACAACGAAAAAGATAGTATTCCGACTACAGAGAATAAGAGAAATTGTGTACCTTTTCATAAGATGATGTTATGATATCGTTTGAATAAATTTTAAGAAACTAGTCAGTCAAAAAAAATGAAAGAGAAAGCGGATTTCTTGCAGTTACATTTCTTGAGAATGCCTGAACTCTTTCGCAGTTTTTTCAGAAATAATTAAAGTAGATTCAGAACGCTAAAATTACAGAGAATTTAATATGAATTAAAATATGAATTATAAATTCAAAATAAAAGAAAAAGTATCGCAAAACCTCTTTCTGTCAATGCGATTTATCGTTATCGATATATTCGCGTGCACACTACGATACAAAGACGCGCAATGTTGTATGACCAGAAAGAGAATGCAAAAAGTCTCTCACCAAGCTGATTTCACGTTTAAAAGATCTGCTACCAGGGTGGCGAGAAGGTCGAGCAAAAAAAAAACACCGGAGCTGCTCGACCACACTCGTACTGCTCTCGAGAATGATCGATCGATCGATCGGGAGGAACACGCGATGATCTCGACACTGGATCTCCTCGCGCTTGTCCAATTAGGCGAAATTTGCGAAAACGTGTGTGCGACCATCGGATCGGGACCTATCCTATGCTTCCGCCGCCACGGACGGCTTTTAGTTTCAAATCGAGTTTCAATCAAGAACGAGTGTTCGTGTCACGAAAGATTACATCGTTACCCGCCTCCGAGTATCACGAAGACACAATGCTTGTATTTTACCATGCAAAAAGGCTTATAGGCAGCGTAATAAATATAGGACGAGCGAAAATGTCGTACGGTTGTTTGTGCTTCGAGCAATGCACTCAGATTTCATGATGCACGTTATACTTCAGATCAAATATATCACAAATATAAAATAACGAACATTTATATTTTTAAATATATTAAAAACGCCGCCGAAGAAGATAACGTCTTTGAGATTTTAATGATTATTAATGATTTATTTCCGAGAAGATCAGAAAATATTTTTCGCAATTTCTGTATAAGAGAGAAACAATTATCGATTCGAGCGAGTTCTTAGCATGAACATCTGCAGGATTAACTCAGCCTTCCATCCAGACTCGTTCCTCTCATTTACCTCGTATTCTTGCAGAGATACCTAGGGTCGTGCAGACGCAGGGTACGGCTGGTGAAGAGAGCGGCGAGCATGAGGACGATGACGACGAGCGCGGATACGATGGACGAGCTGGTAAGTAAGTGCAAAGTAAACTCGAAGGTGCGTATATACATTGAGCAAATGAACAACGAACAGTGAACGCGAATTTTTAGACATTCGTATTCATTTGTTCACGCTATCTCGCTCGAATTAACGCCGTGCCTTTGGCTACATTTGGATTTTGGCGTATTGGTTATAATTAAATAGTTATAATATTTAAAAAGTAATGGCGATCGACAGTTGTATTCCACTTTACGAAGTCAAATGTAATTAAACTCGTACTCTCTAAAAGTGAATCAGTATATTATTACTGATTTCAGTGCTACACTAACTGTAATCATCAACGAATATTTACTGTTTTTCAGTAATAATACACTGATTCATTTTTAGAAGTTATGGTTTCAAGTTTCAACCATACAGATTGAATCTGCAGAAAATCATAACCTCTAAAAGTGAATCAGTGTATTATTATTGAAAAACAGTAAATATTCGCTAATGATTACATCAGTTGTTTCTCGCTTTGATAAAGTGGACTGCAATGTTCATGAAACATTAACATTTAACGATATATCAAAAATACATATGAAGATAATTTGTAAACCACGTAACTTCTTTGAACAAAATACCCGTACAAAGTATCAATTGTAATTATTAATTAATAAAAATTACTAATGAATTAATTATATCCCACAGAGTAAAAGCTATATAATCAAAAATATTTTTTAAACAAATTGCAAATGTTTTGCAAATATTTCTATTAAATATTGTAACTATTAACTTAGAAAAAACGCATATATATATTAAAACTTCTAACGTCTATTATGCACATATCTTATTTTAACTACAAATCCATTTTTGGTTCGTTATATGTTTGTTCAGTATATACGCACTTCCATGCGAGACTATGTATAGTTTGCTTGTTTGCGTTTAACTATCCTATGGTCGAACTACTTGACATTCCGAGTGTTGTGGTACGACGCGTCGAACACTATACTAGTGACACACTGAGCGACGTAAAAATTACTGGTGAATGATGGAACGTAAGAAGATAAAATAGATGAGTGGGAAAGACAGAAGAGACAGAAGGGAGAATAACATCTCGAATCTCAAGAGGAGAGCGATGTTAACGTAGGTCGGTATTCTAATGTCACGTATTCAGCACTAATGTCCCTGTCCGATTCTGAGTTACATTTGTCTTGTACGATGATTTAATATAAACGTGAGATGAAAGTCAAGCAGCTGCATTTAGCGCTGGTAAACATAAGATAAATACGAGCATAATAATCTCCCAAGTAATTTTGTAACAGTCACGAGTCCATTGATATTAAAATGACATTGAAAAAACGCTATTTCGTGGAAATTAGAAATAAAAGAAAGCATTACAATATCAAGACTTTTTAAAATCAATTCGCGTAAATTTTTCAAAATAAATACGAAAGAAAAATTTATTTTGCATATTAATTTGAAATTATTATAAATAATTAATAAATCGTGAATTTGTTATGCTTTAAAATCTGCGCTGCTAATGAACTCTTTAAATATAATCCACGTTCTTTTTGCATTAATATTTTATATTTGTATCATTTGCACGGTTTTAAGAATTAAATATTACTTCATGAAAACGTGAAAGAACTGAGCAAATACATATTATACAAAATTCTACGATATTTTATTCTGTATTATCAAAAATATCTGCAAAATATAAGTAAAAAAATGTTATCGATAAGAAAATGAATATCTTTCTACTAAATTTTAAGATTAACTTTTCAAGAAGCATTAATATCGAAACTGTAATATGTTAAAGAAAAAGAAGAATTTCTACTTTGTAACTTTATACAGTAATAAAAATCATCACTTCCTAAGAAATTATCACTAAAAAAGTTGGGAATTTGTTCGTGAAATTTGAATTTGTAATGAGAAACTGCTGAACTTTTGACACGTATTGCGTACACAACTAAATAAACTTTGGTACGGATCTGAGTCTGTGCGATCACATTATTATTTCCGCAAATTTAACGAGGATCGGGATGGAAGGAAGTCGATCTGGATACGAGCTTCGTCGTCACGTGGTAGAACGGAATGCAGGCGCTATATTAATTTAAGCAGACAGAGCAGATAGAGCTGGTGAGCGAGCGAGAAGGAGAAAGAGGGTTGGAACGTCTAGCCGCTCGGTCGCAGCCTCTCAGCCACCCCTAATGGCTTAATTAAAACTACCCTCGCTTGCGGCTCGCCCGTTTACTCCGGCATTTTCACTCGCGTAGACGATGCGCGATTTTCACAGCGAGCTCTTAGCCGTGCTCGGGCAAGTGAGCGAATCCCCTATTCGAGACGTCGATGCATCTCGATAAATTTAAGTTTTAGATGCCGATATTTTCTCAATTGAGGTCATATATTATAGAAGAAGTAAAAGACAAAATCTGACAGAATTCAGTTCTAATTAAATTTGATAGATGGTACGCATTTCATTCAAGCTTCAAATTAATATGTACATATTCCCAATGCAAATTTGTAATTTTTTAAATAAAAAAAAAACAGTTTAATTTGTATATGCCTAAAAATATTATGCTTCAGATACCTTATAGATATTTTTTATACAGTTAAAAATAGAACTTGGCAAAATAAAAAATTTATTATAAGCAATAAATTCTGTTTAAATATTATGAGTCTATACGTTGATTGGAATAAATGTTTAAAAAATATTAAAACGCGGTACATAGAAGGATTAAACATTAGATGCCGCCGATGTACACTAATGTAGTTACTGTCCTAGAACTTTAACAAGAAAGCTTTATCTCCTAATTTAGTGTCGTCCCCAACGACCCTGTCTTAAGGATGTTACAGAGAATAGCTTCTGATTTTATGTAGAAAAATGGTTCTCTCTTTCCTACGTTTAAAACTGTTTTAATCTGTATGCAAATTGGTTTCTTATGTCACTGATTATTCTAAAATAAAAATATATAGAATTTGTAATAGTACCACTTAATGTACTTGATTAAAATATAAAAAATTATTTAGTATAATATACAATGAGCTTTTGTATGATTCAGTTGTTCTAGATTATTTTCTAATTAGCACAAAATATATTTATTTATAATTTTATAAATATCACTTATATAAATTTCTTTTATATTTCTCTTATATATATTTATTTTTATATTTTATAATTATTAAATTTGTCCTTCAACAAAATATTTCAGTACTGCATCTACTTTAGTATCACGTTTATATTGATATCGCGTACATCGCAACAGAAATCAGGGTAAACAGACTTTCACTCGGCAGCGCCGTTATAATAATCAGATAAGATGTTGATTTGAAACTTGTAAAACTGTACTGACAATACGTCTCGCGTTCACGACGGATGGAGCGATTTTTTCAGGTTGAAAACTGACGGCATGAAAAGCGAGAGGCTCTCGTAGTTGTCGTCCCTCTCGAGTTCTCTCGTTGCATCGAATGCACGCGTTTCTACCCACGCGTGCTCCATATGCAGAGCGCAGATTACGTCTCGACGCTCCCTGCATTTTGAACGCGAGTGAAATATCGACGCGCGAAGAGGAGTATCGTGATCGAGTTTGCACCTGGGACCAAATACACCCTACGGGTGATATGATACTAATTATCAGATATTGCGATCGCCAAAGAAATGATTCTGGTTTAACTAATTTTGTTTTGCAATCATTGAACTGAAGATAAAAGTATTTAATACAATTGAGAGATTATAAGACGACAACTTGTCTTTTCATCACGAAGAAATTTTTTGAGAGTAGTACTGCTATATATACACTGAGAAAAAAATTAGTCAATTTTAATAAATATTTAGTTCAGTACTACAACTAAATATTTACTTACAGTAAATAAATATTTGTTTAGTAAAAAAAATTATTATTAAATCAAATTAACATTTCTTGTATCAAATAAATGTATCTTTATATTTAATAAATATTTAGTTGGCATGTATTCAACTAAATATTTATTAAAATTGACTATATTTTTTTTCAGTGTATATAAACTTATCCTACTTCTAAGTTTAAAGGTTACAAACAGTGGTTGCCAAAAGTATTTTAATATATTTACCAGTATTTAAAATATTGTGTTCTTAATCCCCAGATAGCGTTTATGTTGCATAAGATATCTAAAACATGTCTGAAAGATGTCTAAAAGACGTTTAAAAGACGTCTTTTAGATATCTTATGCAACATGCATGTTATCTGGGTAAGTTGATTGTATACAGTAAAAATTTTATTAACTTATAATATAAATTGAGAAACAAATTGACAAAAATTATCATAAAATTACATATGTTAGCGGAAACTATTGGCCACTGTATAGATAAGACAACTTAAAAAAAATATTCATCATAATTCGCAAAAATTTTTGTTTCTACATTTTATTTTGCGATAAAATACTTCGATGTGCTTACTTTCCCAATTCTAAAATATTCAAAATTCTTGTGAACCAACGTTTACATTGGGACGGAATAATCGTGATTGGATTAAATTTTGTTCCCATTTAATTTTTGCTATGAGACGCGTAGAAATTTTGCCGCCTACATGACGCACATAATTTTGCTTGTAGATTACGCGGCGACGTTACCTACTCCACTCGTACAGAAGTGAAATATCGACGCAAGTAGTATCGTAATCGAATTTACACCTGGCGAGTGTCGCGTCGAGTGGCACTGTCGCTGTAAATTCTTGTGGGGAAACTGCCGCAGGTACGACCTGCGTAAATTATCTACCGTAATAGGCCTCCTGGAAATACTCTTCTTGCAGTTGCCCCTCCTTCCCCACGAAATCACGATCACGGCCTCAGCATCTCGATAATGTCGCGATAAGTCGCCGCTAGTCAACGTTCTTATATAGCGTGGATCTCGGACATAGATAACGTAAGGATAGATAACTAAGAAAATAATAGCTATTTTAATGAAGAAATTTTGATATTTACATACGTAGATATTTGATATCGCAAATTAACATAATTAACTCATGTGTCTTAAATTTCTCAACTCACATCTTTCAATTTATTAATATATT